GCAACACCGAGGGTTGCGATCCCGTTGCCGGTCTCGGTCCGATCCGGGCGCGACACTGAGGGTTGCGATCCGTTGCCGGACACGAAAAAAGACAAAAAAAAAAAAAGAAAGCAGATGATGTCTTCCCGGGTGTCCTTTAAGGAAATACCTCAGACTCCTGTCCATTAAGTACGATGTTTGCTTCTGTGTTTTGTATATACCCTGTGTCAGGTTAAAGAGTTACTTTCTCATTAGAGTTTTTATCATGAATGGGTGTCGAAATTTATTTCATGTTGTTTTTTTTATAAACCTGTTGAAATGATAATGAGGTTTTTCTTTAATCTGTTAATATGGTAGATTACATTGTTTTTCTAAAACTATGTTTGATTCCTAGAATAAGGTTAGCTTGGTCTTGTATTATAATTTTTAACACACTGCTAGATTGCTAATGCTTTATTGAGGACTTTGAAATTAGTGTTCATAAATGAGGCCAGCTATAATTTTTCTTTGTCGTAATATTTTTGTCTAGTTTTAGTATTGAAGTTAAACAGACTTTACAAAAAGAGTTGAGCATTTTTTTGTTTATTCTTTGGAGTGTTTCATATAAGACAGATTGTTCACCGTAGGTTAATTGGATATTAGTGTTGTTTTATTTTGTATTTTTTGTCTGTTTTTGACAGAATGGGTAAGTTTATATCTACTGTTTAAATGTCTTTACAGGTCTATTCAAGTTTTCTAGTGATTTTATTTTATTATTGTTATTGGTTATGAGTATTCATGAGATACAGAGCTGATTGTCACCCCTCGTGCCCAAGATGTGAAGGCCAGATTCATACTGGCAGCATGCCCATTACCACAAATTGTGTTTGTACACCGTGTCCCCCACCCAATTATCCCCAACCTCCCTTCCCCTCCCGCTTTCCCTCCTACTCCACTTTGTATCCCAAGGTATGTTCTCTTCCTCTGCAAATCCAACACACCACTGTGGTCTTTCTTTCCTTTCTTCTTTCTTAGCTCCCACTTATGAGTGAGCACATGTGGTATTTATCCCTCTATGCTTTGCTTATTTCACTCAGCATAAGTTTCTTCGGGTTCATTCATGTTGTTGCAAATGGGAAAATTTCATTCTTTTTTATGGCAGAAAAGTTTTCTAGTTTTGAGGGAGTTGTGCTAATTCATATTTTTCAAGAAAAATTTCTCTTTCTACTTAGGTTTTCATATATGTTGGCATAAAGTTGTTCAGTGTATTCTCATTTTAAAAATCTCAACGGTATTTGTGGCTGGGACCCCTTGGTCATTCTCTGCATTATGTATTTATTCCCTAAATCCATGTGTAGCACAGACCTGTGGTTGGAAAGTCCCAGAAGAGAATTTATTTTTTCCCCAGCTGAGCCCAGGTCAAGATAGATACACTTCTTTTTCATTCTTCCCTCTCTTCTAGACCACTTTGCTTTCTGGTGGGCATTACAATCCAAGCCTCCATTATAGAAACTCTGTTATTTTTGAAATAGTAGTTTTGCCAATGTAGACATTAGTCAAACTCATATAATTAAAGATTTTAAATTTCCTGCATCTTACTGAATATAAATTATACCTCATTAATGTTGACTTAAAGAGCAAACGAACACCTTAGCGCCTAAACAGTGACCAACTCTTACCCCATACACTCCTCCCTTGGGGAAGCCACAGTAGCTCTGGGGCTTTCAAGTCTATTTTTCAGCGCTCTCTTTGTTTTCAGTCCCTAGAAATTTCTCTTCCATTCTTATAAGCTTACCTTGCAATGTAAAAGATGTCTGTTATGATTTATGGAGCATTTCTGGGTTATAGTGGGGTAGGTGTCCTGGTAATCTCATCCACCTTTCTGGTGGAAATATAAGTGAATTAAGTCATTTTGAAACCCTCAAGTAAATGTTGGCTAGAGAAATTGGTCTCAAATTTAGGAGAATGAGCTGAGCTAGGATCAAAAACTATGCTGTAGATAACTATATAAACAAGGCATTAATTCAGCATATATTTATTGTACTTACTATGTGCTAGCCACTGTTCTAGGCAGTGACCCAAAACAAAACTCTGTGCTTATGGGACTTAATGCTCAGTGGAAGGAGATAGACAGAAAGCAGATAAGTATGTGGTGTGTCAGATGGTATAAATGCTGATAAACTCTGCATGATTGCTATCATTTAACCCAGTGATGCAGTGTGAAAGTTTTAGATGAAATAATAACATGTGGTAACCTGAAATAAAAATGTGGTTGATAAACAGGCAGGTTAAATGATGTTTAGTTTTTGGAATTATTAAACCCCGCCATTTCCATTATTTTGTGTCTCTTAGATTCTGGAGTAGCAATGTGATGTAAGGCATAGTTTCAAAAACTTTATTCAGAGTATTCTTCAAGAAAGGATTTGATGGTCAAACAAGGTTCTATTTTGGAAATTCAAATACATTTTAATATGTAAAAGTCCTTGAAATATTCTGTGGTAAAGAAAATTGCTTTATTTTATTTAGTTTTCAAAAAACATGGGTATAATAGAATCTCAACTCTGCAATGTACAGCTTATGTGACCTTGCTAGCTTTTGTTAGATTAAAGAGATAAATACTTGCCTTATAAGGTTGTTATGAAGAATATCTGAAATGATGTAGAAGTTGTCTCAAGTGTAGTCCTGGTGACAGTTCCTATTAGCTGCCTTCTCTGATTGTTAATATATTTGCCTAGACAGGATTTACTGGCAGTATCTTTATTAATCTTTACATGTGATTTTTATCAACAGGGAACTGTGGAGATATAAATTTAGTACGACTGGGGCCAGAAAGATCTATTAATAATGAGGTCCTAAAATTCAGTTTGGACAGCCAAGTTAACCACAGAATGAGTAAGTAGTGAATACAGTGCATACTAATGTTTTCTCGATTTCTTTTTGTGTAGTAGATGATGACTTGGGCACTAAGGGTAGTTTGGAGACCCTAGAAACAATCTAGCCTTGGGAACTAGTTTTCCTTTTCATTGTGTTTGCATATGTATGTTAGAATTCGCATATAATTTTTTATTTTTATCTTTGTTAGAAAAAGATTTACCTTCTCATGTTCAGGAAATGTATAGAACAAAGGAGTTTCTAGATCACCAACTAGATGAGCTTTCCCGCCAGCGAGCTTTATGTCGAGGTGGACGGGAAATACAGGTATCTAAACATTTCTTAATTTTCTTTAAGTAATAACTCATAGGTACACAAACTAGTTGATGATATTTGATGCCATTCTTTTCCTGAGCAACCTTTATGTCGAGGTGGACGGGAAATACAGGTATCTAAACATTTCTTAATTTTCTTTAAGTAACAACTCATAGGTACACAAACTAGTTGATGATATTTGATGCCATTCTTTTCCTGAGCAATGGCATAATTCATGTATAAAAGTGTATACTAAAGGGGTATGCCATATATACATCAGGTTAGCAGACTTTTTTTGTTTGTTTTTTGGCAGCTGGCCAGTATGTGGATCCGAACCCTTGACCCTGGTGTTGTAACACCATGCTCTAACCAACTGAGCTAACGGGCCAGCCATAAACTTTTTTTGTAAAGGGTAAAGTAGTAAATATTTTAAGCTCTGCAGGTTATGTGGTCCCTGTTGCAGCTACTCAGCTCTGCTATTGTAGCATGAAAGCAGCCATAGATAATACTTGGACAAGCAGATGTAGCTGTGTTTCAATAAAACTTTATAAAAACAGGTGGTCTGTTGAATTTGGCCCATAGGCTGTACTGCCTTATGTTAAAGCTCTGCTGAATTATGAGGTATCTTTCAATTGCACCTTCAAAAAGCCAGTTGAAATTAGGTTAAACAAAAAGGGAATTTACTGGCTCATATACCTGGGAAATCCGGGAGTGGATTAGTTTCAGCATTGCTGATCCAGAGACTCAAATGATATCATTTCTTCACCCTGTATTTGTTTTTCTCTGTGTGTCAGCCATTGTCTTCAGGAGAGGGTGAGAAACAGCATGTTTGGGCTCCGTCATCCCGGCTTACAAACCCCATAGGGAGAGAAGTTTTATTTCCTAGCATCCATGCATCAGTTTCATTGAGGGAGGGACTCTGATTAGTCCCTGGGTGGGCAGGTCTAATCTCTGTATTTAAAGGAATGGGTGCCATGATTTGGCCAGGCCTGTATTACATGCCATCACTGTGGCCAGAGGAATGGTTGGGGTGTGATTGACAACCTCATTTGAACCACCTAGAAATTAGTGGAGGAATGATGCTCCAAGGGTTGGGATGCTAAGCACATAACATACATATAATGCCCTGGACATAACTGAATCTTACACAGCAATGCAGAAAGTGCGTCAGAACTTTACTGACTTTACTGGTAGAGATAATAAGCTGGGTTATCAAGTTTTTCATTGGTAAAAAAAAAAAAAAAATAGTCTTACTCTTCTGAAATGCGAGGCATTGGAAAGTATTTTTAAACACTTAGTTTAGTTTTAATGATAGCATTCTAATTTTTTCCAGAGGCGGGAATTAGATGATAAAATTGCCAAAGTTTCAAAAGAAAGGCAAGAACTTGCTTCTAGAGTTAAAGAGGTAAGTAGTTAACCTGTAGCATTTCCTTGATTTTTATTTTCTTTATTCAAGTTAATTATGAAATAGTTCGGACTTCAGAAAACCTATGGGCTTTTCTCAATTACATTTTTAAAAATGTTTATTATGAAAAATTGCAAACATCTATGAAAAAATGGTGTTATTACAGTTGACCCTTGAACAGTGCAGGGGTTAGGGGCACACTAACCACCCTCACAGTTGAGAGTTTGAGTGTAGCTTTTGACTCCCCAAAACTTAAATACTACTTAATAATATACTATTAGGTAGGTTACTTAATTGTTTGGGCAAATATGCCATATCTAACCAGAAAATTCCCACTATATTTATTGAAAAATATCCATGTATAGGAGGACCTGTGCAGTTCAAACCCGTGTTCCTCAAGGCTCAACTGTACATTTACATTTACATTATTTTCTTTAACTTAAGAATGAACATCTGAGATTTCTAAGAAAGAGGTGATTATAAATTATCTTTTTCCTATTTTAGATCTGGGTGTATATTTAATATTCTTCTTATAAAGTGTTCTATTTCTTCTCCCCATCCACTGCAACAACAATTATGGTAATTATCAGATGAATAGTGAATGAAAATAGTTTGTAGTGTTTTCCCTATTAAAAAGAAAATCACGTTTGTGAGCTTTAGGAAGAGGGTGGCAACTGTGAGCCCTCCAGCACACCAGTCTCATAGAAAATTCAGCATGTTTTTTTGCAATTCTTGGCTTAAAGCACAAACTTTGTATTTGTCTTTGATTGTAAGAATCCTGTAACATGGATAGCTTTTCTCCAGTATTCTTTGGATGTAAAAACATCCGATAAGATTTAAATTAATTGAAGTGAGGCTGAGCCAGAGGTATGTCCTGATCATCAGAATGTAGCTCTATTCAGACCAAGGGTGGGGGCTGGACAATTTGTGATGTTAGTATTTTTGAGCTTTTTTTGAATGTGTTATTAGCCTTCTCTATGTAGCTAAATAAATACACTTGGGAATTAAATGCATATTTCCATTAGCAGTTTATTTATTTAAACTAAAAATTATATTAAATTAATCTTCCCAAATTTAAGGATGAATCCATGTTCATGGGTGTTGTGTTTTTTGCTGCCTATCACGTGTTCTGTGGACCATTGAATTAATCGTGCTTGGCAGTTTTGCTCACTAGATGGCTTAGAGGAGAGGTATTTCACAGTGCTTTGGCCTGTGAGCACTAGAAGACCACAATTGCCCTTTTCATGAAACTCACATTCATGTCTTCAAGCCCATGGTTGAATACATCATGTATGCAGACATGAATCACTATGACTTCTCAGTAACAGAAATAAGCAAACCAGAATCTCTGATAAAAACAACAGTTTATTACTTTGAGCACTAAATGGTATGCGTTGTGAGATGTCATTCATGTTTTCTGGCTCCATCATAGTAGATTGTGTTATAGAAGTATACCAATGTTGTTTTTCTTACTGTGGAAATAGAATGCTCATCAAGTTCACAGGCATTTATGTTGGTACTAGCCTTTATAAAAGAGAGAACAGCATTATGTACTTAAAAACTAACAGAAAAATGTATGTTCAAGCTTAGATCTAACCCTGGTTTTACTCAGATAATTGCTTCACAACTCATAAGAGTTCGTTAATCTCTATTTATTCCTATATACATCTGGCTACAAGAAGTATTGTAATCTACTTCGACTATTTCAAATCCTGAAAAAAAAAAAATTTTTTTTTTTTTTTTGTATTTTTTTAAACGTGCTTAAATCTTTTTCTAAGCTTAGACTGCAAAGCACAGTATTCTTTCTGGTGGTTTCTGATTATCTTGTATATTTCTGCTGCTTTCTAGATTTGAGGTTTCCCTCTAACTTCTATTAAATATATTTCTGTCTCATAATAAATGGTAGGTGTTTTATAGTAGAAATAGACCTATCATAGTCAAGGATTTATGGACAACTATTAATTAACCTTTATTTGTTCTCTTAGGTTCAAGGACGCCCACAGAAAACACAGAGTATCATTATCTTAGAGTCCCATATCATCTGCTGCACATTGAGCACAAGTGGTGGTTTACTGCTTGAGTCTGCTTTTCGTGGGCAAGGGGGTGTCCCCTTCAGTTGTGTTATTGTTGATGAGGTCAGTGATCAGTCAGCCATACACCTTTGACTAGTATTGTGACGAGTAAGTCTTAGATGCATTGTGGTTGCTGAGATGTTGATAAAATGGTTTTTCTGCATCTGATTTTTACCTGCCACTATATGTGTATTCCCTATGTTGAAATATGCTGCTAAGGACAGATTATAGTTAAAATTGCTTTTCCACTATTGGGATTACAGTCTTCAGGATGCCTGGTTGTTTATAACAAAATCCCTGCTGAGTGACTGTCTAGTTCCTGCTTGGAATATCTCTAGTTACCTTTTGAAGCAGTTTTAATGTAACTTTGGTCAGCTTTGAGCTATAATATTTTCAATGAACATCTTTTGTCCTTAGTTCATTCATTGAGGAAACATTTTTGGGGTACCTACTGTTTGCCAGAATATAGAGTCAGAAGGCAAAAAAGATGTAGCATGAGATACAGAGAATCAGTCATCCACCATTCACCAGAATGAAAGAACAGAGAGGGTGGAAGTGTTGAAATAATTGAGGGAAATGTCATTGAATTGAAGAGAAACTTGAGTCTTGTGACTGAAGAAGCCTACTGAGGAACCAGGAGGAAAGATGAGGGACACACACACCCCTAATGTGATTTCTGAACTTCAGAAATAAAGTTCTAAAAGAACTTTAGAGGAGAAAAAAGCTCTCTCAGGTTTGTGCCAGGCGGGAACAAAGAAAAAAACCCTGGAATGTACATAGCCTTCTCATATGGAGCTGGTTCTCTAGTGGTAGGGGCACCCGCAGTGGCTGACTTCAAAATACATTTGATTTTTAATTTTTTTAGTTTTGTTTAGAGGGTTTGTTTTCTTATTGTTCGTTTGGTTTTCTGATCAAAGAAAATCATTTTTGATATTTGGTGCAGAAGGAGAAGTGTGGCACTTTTCTGAATGGTTAGAACTGTAACGAATTAGACAAACTGTATATGTATACAGTAATAACAAAGATATTTAAGACGATTTCTTCCTTCTATACTTTTTTTTTTAACCAAGGCTGGGCAGTCTTGTGAAGTTGAGACTCTTACTCCGCTCATCCATCGCTGCAACAAGCTTATCCTAGTAGGAGATCCTAAACAGCTCCCTCCCACAGTCATTTCTATGGTACGTTTTTTAATGTTCAACTTGCTTTAAAGTAGAAGAAGCTTTTTGTTGTTTTGGGGGAGAGAGGGAGGGCGTCTTTCTTAAATTGGTATCTCTTATTTGGTGGGAAAAGTAGGGAATGACTGAGAAAAGAGAAACACTGTGTGAGTGTTAATAAGTGAAAACTTCTGAAAATTTTCTTTTGTTCATAGTTGTGCTTCTGTGTGCATGTGGCAGGGGCAGCATAGGTGATGGAGACCAGAAGCTTAGATGGCTGTTATTCCATGAGTGCCAGGTTTTCCCTGTTGGGAAAAGTGGTGTGCAGATATTTTAAGGGTGTATCTGGTTTGTTATAACACAAGCACCAAAACAATAATAAAAGAAAAACTTTAAAAGCAAGGAAAAGAATCCCAGCCTCCTGATTTACATTTAAATATGTGCAAATATGTGGAAAACATTATAGAGAGAGATTATTTTTGGAGTACATTTCCAGTTTTAGAATTATTTTTTTTTAATTGAATCATAATGATACATATTTTGGGGGTTCAATGTTGACATATGTTGATCAAATCAATATTCCTAGTATATATATTGTTACATATTGTACTTATTCCTTATGCCCCTTGTTCAATCTCTCCCTATCCTGCTCTCCCTCTCGCCTCCCACCACTGATAACCCTAGATTTTTTCTCTCCCTCTGAAACAGTACTGGTTACTGTGTTGATTTGTTGCCTAGATGATCTATCCAATGCTGAGATGTGTGTTCAGGTCCCCCAGTATTATCATAGAGTAGATCCAGTTTTAGAATTTTGTATTCTGTAGTATAACAAAACATCTGTGCCCTTCACATCATCTCAAAGTGAAGGTGACAGGAAAAGAAAAGGGATTAGTTGTGAACTCTGTCTGTGGGGAAAATAAACACCTAGATTGTGGTCTGCTGTACTTTTTTTTTTAGTCTCAGAAATGCATATCAGAATTGGGATTCAGTAGATGTTTGGGGTAATCTGAATAGGCCTTAACCATGGTTTTGAAATGTAATAAAATTTATATTTTTTTTACTAATACATAGATTATTTATGGAGTAGTGGCCTCATAAACAATCGCAGAGAACAGATTAATTTCACAGTATTTCTGTTTAATTTCAGAGTGAATGCATGTGGTTCTTTTTGTTGTTGTTCGTTTTGACTTTGGAATTACTCAGAATGATGGTGAAGTTCTTTGTGTGACATGTGGGCACAGGTGTGTGGGCACGCTAGGGTGTGGCCCAGAAGTATGCCCGTTGCTGAGGGGACACCTGTATCTATGGGGGAAAATCTGCTGTGGTGACTTTGTTCCTAAGGATAATAATAATGCAGCTGATTTAACTGCTGGAACGGCCTCAGCATGTAGTGAAAAGGGATTATTAGTGAGCCTCAGCTTTACTGCCTACTTTAATGATTGATAAAAACAACAAAATGAGCAAAGTCAATCCATGTGGGCTTTTTTTTTTTTTTTTCCTTTTTGTCTTTTTTTACTGGCCGGTAACGGGATCGCAACCCTCGGTGTCGCGCCCGCGCCACGCTCAGCCAGCGAGCGGGAACCGGTCACCACATGGGATCCGAACCCTCAGCGGGAGCACCGCCGCGCTCCCAAGTGGCGCACTCTCCAGTGCGCCACTGGGCCGGCCCCATGTGGGCTTTTTTTATCATTACTGTACAAATGTGTAAAACAGGCCTATTGAGGAAAATAGTTACAGAGTTCATTTCCACATCATGCTTTTCTAACCACTTATTTGTAGGAGAATAACTCTGAACAGTTTAGTGTGACTATTTTACAGATTTTGCTGGGCATTTGTGTATGCATTTATTATTTTTTTTTCCAGTATTTATTGAGTGCCAACATATTTCAGACACTATTTTAGGTGTTCGGGTTATGACAGCAAAGAAAACAGACAAAATTTTTGCCCTCATAATGCTTACATTCTAGGGAATAACAGACAGTAAGTAAGTTATTAAAAATATGGTGTATGGGGGGAGAGGGAGGAGGGAGGGAGGTTTCGGTGATGGGACACAATAACTAACTACATTGTATATTGACAAAATAAAAATAAAAAAAAATATGGTGTATAATGGTTATAAGGTTTGTATACGTGTATATGTTTTTTGGGGGGGGGGTTTTGTCCTTTTTGAGACTGGTCGCACTGCGCTCAGCCAGTGAGCACTGTGAGTGCCCCGGTCATCCCTATGTAGGATCTGAACCCGCAGCAGGAGCGCTACTGCGCTCCCAGCGCCGCACTCTCCTGAGTGTGCCACGGGCTCGGCCCTACGTGTATATGTTTGTGTATATGTGTAGAGTCTGGTTTTGTTTAAAATCGGTGGAATCATTCTGTGCAGATTGTTCAGTGAATAATAGATCAGGGACATCTTTCCGTGTCAGAATATATAAATCTATGTCATTTTGTAGTATGGGCTCAGTATTTTTCTGGAAGTAGATTTGTTATCCTGTAGCAGTCCTTTTTCCTCAAAGAGAGGATTCAAAATTAGGTTTTGGCCTAACTGGAATAAACTTTTGGGGATGTAGATGAAATTATCAAGTGTCTATTAAAATTATTATTTTATAGTTATGCAAACCTATTAAAATGACATGTATAAATACATTAAGAAGTTAATGCCTTTTTTCCACTTTCATAGTTTGTGCAATAGGTTTGTTCACACTTTGCACACACATCTTTGATGCTAGTGTCTCCAGCATCACTCATGAAGATTCCATCATTTAGCACAGTTTTCAGAGCACAATTTTACTTCTAGATTATTTAAGATATAATACTTCTTGAATCTTTGTATGATGTTGTCATTGAAAAGTATATCTCAAGACACAACTGATAACATTAAAACAGTTTTCTTCCCTTGTCATTTAGGTCTTTGTTTTTCAGATTGTAGGTTATAACCCCTTTATTTAGTTTGTGAGATCAATTTAGTTAAGTCTGTAGTTTGTCTTCTCCATTGGAATATAAGGTCTTTGAGACTTGATCTTAATCATCTTAGCAGTCGTAGCACTCCAAATTGTGGTTGCTCAGTACATATAGGATGGATAGAAGAAGACACTTTTTCTCAAAAGGCTTGTTTATAGTGGCATTTAGTATTTCTGGGACATTCCCCAGAAATAATTGTTAAAGTCTGTTACATTTCTTCTTTCCTTCCTTTATTATTGATTTGAGGTGACCTCTCTTAGCATCAAAATAGCATCAGTTGTGGTCATTCACAAGATAACCTATCTTTTGTAAGCAGTATTTTGATTCTAAATAAAGAGAAAATACCTTAACTTACATTCAGGATACATGGCTTTTGAGGATCAGGGCCAGAAACATCTCCTTTTTCTGAATCTATGGTTTTAAGAATCTTATGCCACCTAAACCATGCCATGTACATATTACAGCTCAGTAACTTTTATAAATAGTGGGAAAAATATAAATAAATTCTTGTAAATTATTGCTTTATTTTATTTCTCCCAAGAAGGCTCAGGAACATGGCTATGACCAGTCGATGATGGCTCGCTTCTACAAACTGCTGGAAGAGAATGTAGAACAAAACATGATTGGCAGACTGCCTGTTATACAGCTTACTGTTCAGTACAGGATGCATCCAGACATATGTCTCTTCCCTTCTAATTATGTTTATAACAGAAGCTTGAAAACAAATAGGTGGGTTCCCTTCATTGCTTGTGAGCTTATTTTATTTGTAGGTTTAGCTACTTAGGAACACTAGCCATTTTACTTGTATTCTTAGGACTTGCCATAAACAGCAGGTATCATGAAGGTTTAATAATTTTCTGTAATTATGGAAGTCATCATATAGATTACAGAAAATGCAGATGAAAAAGGAAGTAAAGAATTGCACATATTTATACTACCCAGAAATAATCATTGGTAACATTTTGGTTTATCTACTTCTAGTCCATTATTTTTGTACTTTTTTTCTTTTTAAAATTTTTGGGAAAAAAATTGGACCATATCCTACATAGTGTTCTGTGACTTGCTTTTTTCACTTACCATATTATGAGTAACTTTCCAATCATAATTGTTATATTTTAATTACATGGATCATTTTGCTTAGCACTAGAATAGAAAGTCTGTTTTGTATGTTTCACTTATATACGGGTATAAAAGAAAGCCCCTCTTATTCCCTTACTTTCCCCAGCCCTCTCCTCCACACAGAAAAACTGATAGTAATAAAATATTTTCTTTTAACTTGGCTTATATTCTGAATGGTGGCTGCTTTTTTATAGGCTGACTGAAACCAACCGATGTTCATCAGACTGGCCATTTCAGCCTTACCTTGTGTTTGATGTTGGAGATGGTTCAGAAAGACGGGAAAATGAGTATGTTCTCTTCCTTCAGTCCCCGTCGATGCTCCCAAAATTGTCATATTATTTTTGTTCATATTTATACTAAAAATATTTTCCATATATCTCTCTCTGCCTAGTGCCAGGGCATAGTCATTTTCACTTAGCCAGGTTGATAACTTGTCCTTTTTGTTGTATAATGGGGATAATATTACCTAACATGTGGTAAGTAAGCAGTTGAGTAGATATGTGCTGAGATCACATCAGTGAGTAAAACAGATGTGGCCCTATTGCAAGATTATTAGGGCTAATGGGGAGGTAACATGAACTAGGTAATCACCTAGGTAGGTAATTATTCCAGTTGGGTTAAGTGCTATGAAGGAAACATATAGATTCAATTGAATTAAGGTGTAAAGGGGAATAAGGAAGTAGAGACAGAGGTTGGACAATACTTTGTTTTTTTTTTTTGGGGGGGGGGTATGGTACAGGGATTGAACCCTGGACCTTGGTGTTATTAGCACCATGCTCTAACCAACTGAGCTAACTGGCCAGCCCCTGGACAATACTTTAAGGATTCCCAGTTGTGAATAAGGGAGCATGTTCAGGAAGTCTGTAAATGACAGCAAAAGGAGTGGTGGTGTTGCTAAATAGTAAAAATGTCAGAGAAGCCAGGTGTTCTTGTAAGAGAGTACAGGAGTAATAGTCTGGAGGCAGCATTGTTAGCACAGGTACAAACGCTCCTTCTCTATCATGAAGTATGAGGAAATATAAATTCCACTTCCATATCATGAGAGGGCTGCTGAGCAGGTGGTGTCCTCAAGTGAGAATCAGGTATTAATTGAGATAAAGAGGTGGAGAGAGGGAACATTCTTTGAAGTCGTTAAAAATTCAGAGGAGGACTCAGCCATGGGATCACAGTGCCCAACGGATTGCAATGTAAAGGATTTAGTGGGGCCTGTGCAGTAAAGCAGAGGATTGAGAGTTGAGACCCCAGAGCATTATGGGGATAGAAGGTCACAAGAGGAGTGTTGACCAAGGAGGCTGAACCTGAGAGAAGACCAAAGACAATGAAGATTTCAGAGATGGAAGAGATAGCTACCTGACTGGGTTATGTATATAAGAAGTCTTGAAGTTAGGATAGTGGCTGTTGGAGGCTCCTAAAGCAAGATGCATTAGGTAGCCTCAGGAATAAAGGCACACCCCCTGGTGTTGGTATGTGTTGGAACTGGTATGGTAATGAGGTGACACATGTAGTTTGTGGGGTGGGTAGGGAGTGCAGGATATGAGGCCAGTGAGGAGGCCAATGAGGACACAAGCCAGCTGCAGGGCCCCATGCTCAGTTCTGAGAGCCACGTCATTCACATGTAGTCTGTGGATGGCATTTCTTCAGTCATGTGGTGCATGGTCTGTATGGCCAGTGGTGGGAGTTAAGAAAGATAATACATCTAAAGCACTTTCTCAGTGTTTGAAAGATAGTAACCCCTTGATTAGTGTTAGCTATTTATTATTCACATCTTCATTGTTATAAATACTGTTCTTACTCTTGAGCTATTCTTGTTTTCACAAATGAAGAAATTGGCACCTAAACTTCAGTTGACTCCAGACTCTTTTCTCTCTGCAACTTCACATTTCACTGGGCAATTATTTCTATGTATTTGTAATACAGCATTAATAGTCACTATAACAGCTCTTTGAGTCATTGCTGGCTGAATAAAAGATGAGGACTGTCTGCCTGCCCTTTGCTGTAATGGGAAACAAACTAAGAAAGTTAGCAATATGACTGCTCTTAGTTTTGATATGTTGTGTTTTCTTTTTCTATCTTATTACTTAGCTCATATGTAAATGTTCAAGAAATAAAACTGGTGATGGAAATAATTAAGCTTATTAAAGACAAAAGAAGAGAAGTTAGTTTCCGAAACATTGGCATAATAACCCATTACAAGGCTCAGAAGACGTTGATTCAGAAGGATTTGGACAAAGAGTTTGATAGAAAAGGGTGAGGTACTTTTACAGATATTTCTAATTTTTCTGTTGAATTAGAAAGAAGAGAGGGGATAAAGGAAAAGAAGAAAGGGAAACTTTCGGCAGTGGTCTTAGACCATTTAAAGTGATTATAGTAGCACAGGGAGACTGGGATGCTGGCTTTCATAGACTTGTGCTGTGTAAGTACTGGGTAGGTTTGTGGCCTCTATGGACAGGCAGTTGAAATGTCAACATTGTACCTGACAATGGGATTGACTGAGAAACTTTTCAGGTCTTTTCCCTTTAGTTCCACCAGTTGTTAATCTGAATTCTAATTCTTGCAAGAATAGTGAAACATTTCATTTTGAATAAATTATTTAACCCTTTTGTTGCCTTTGTGTACAGTGAAGATCATGTTTGTCTCCTTACCTCAGCAGTAAAATTAAAGATTAAATATTGGAAATCTGTTAACCTCAATAGTTTCTTAACCTAGAAACACACAGACTATCAAAATTGACTAGAAAAAAGGAAATCTGAGCAGACCTACATGACAAGTGAAAACATACATTTAGTAATCAGACACCTCCCAATGATGAAAAGCTCAGGACCAGGCTTCACTGGTGAATTCTACCAAATATTAAATCAGGAATTAACACTAGTCCTTCTCAAACTTCCAAAAAATACAGAACACTTTCTAACTCATTTTATGAGGTAGGTATTACCCTGATGTCAAAGCCAGAGAAAGACATCATAAAAAAAGAAAACTACAGACTGATATCCTTTATAAATATAGATACAAAAATACTCAGCAAAATAGTGGTAAACTTAATTCAGCAGCATATTAAAAGCATTAGACATCACGACCAAGTGGGATTTATCCCAGGAATGTAAAGTTGGTTCAACATATGAGAATCAAATCAATGTGACGCATCATATTAATAGAACAAAGTGGGGGGGGGGAACCCACATAATCATCTCAGTAGATACAGAAAAAAGTTTGATAAAATTTGACACCCTTCCATGATAAAAACAATAAACTAGAAATACAAAGGAACTTTCTTAACCCCTTAAGAGACATCTTTCAGAGAGAACTTTCAGAGACATCTCTGAAAAACTCAGAGCTAATGTTATACTTAATGGAGGTACAATTGGAAGCCTTTCTCCTAAGATCAGAAAGAATGTTTGCTCTTGCTACTTCTATTCATCATTGTACTAGAGGCTGTAGCCAGAGCAGTTAAGCAAAAAAAAATAAATTTAAAAAACAAATCCTTTTTTTAAAAAAAATTCAATTGTAAATCGGGAATTTTATTTTTTTAAAAGTTTAATAACAGCCATTAATGAGATCTTGAATTTGTCCATTGGGGATTTAAACTTCAATGAATTTTCAAAAATCAAGAAATTCTCCCAAAGGTAAATATCAGCCCTTTTTTCTAAATTTTCAGGATAGATCATTCCTTTGTTTCAGGATTTAAACCATTAAACTTACCCTACTCCAAACTGGATCCAAGTCAACTTGAGTAATAAAGAAGTAAGATTCTTAACTGACATGTGGTCTCCTTTTTCTTTTTCAAAGCCCACCAATTCAGGAGTTTTGTTTGTTTTGTTGGATATGAGATTTTTCTGGGCAAGAATTGAAGAGTAGGAGGCACAGTGAAACAGTCGAGAAAATGCAGGTTTTATCAAAGAAGCCCATCACACTGTACATCAGGCCAGTGCAATGGCTCTTCAAATAAATTGCTTGAAAATAGAAACAAGTGACCTAACCTGTAACACAAGCAAAATATAAATACAGTCATGCGCTGTGTAACGATGTTACAGCCAGTGATGGTGGTTGGAGCTTACAGCCTGAGTGTATAGTAGGCTATGCCATCTAGGTTTGTGTAAGTACATTCCATGATATTTGCGCAATGACAAATTGCCTAACAATGCATTTCTCAGAACGTATCCCTTGTTAAGTGATGCATGAGTGTATATGTGCTTATGTAAATGTTGCCTCCTGACTTCCTTTATTTTCACGTGCTTCACTTGAAGTAATATGTGGGATTTCACAGCTTCTCTTAGAGACGGGAACTGAATGTTAAGTTGTTCAGTCATGAGGACTGGGTGGCCCATTGCCTTTGTTATAAAATCAATTAGCCATAAAATGTATCCTTATTGGAAAGGGGGAAGTAAAACTCTGTCTTTTTATAGATGGCATGATCTTATTTATAACATCCCTAACAAATCCACACAAAAACTATTAGAGCTAATAAATGAGTTCAAGAAAGTTGCAGGATACAAGGTCAATATACATAAATCTGTTGTATTTCTTTCTTTTTTTTTTTTTTTTTCTTGTCCGGCAACGGATCGCAACCCTCAGTGTCACGCCCGTACCGGACCGGACCGGCAACGGGATCGCAACCCTCAGTGTTGCGCCCACACCTCGCTCAGCCAGTGAGCGGGAACCGGTCTGTATGTGGGATCCGAACCCTCAGCGGGAGCGCCGCCGCACTCCCAAGCGGCGCACTGCAGCAGTGCGCCACCGGGCCGGCCCAAATCTGTTGTATTTCTATACGCTAGCAACAGTCAGTCTGAGAAGGAAATTAAAACAATTCCATTTACAATAGCATCAAAAAGAATAAAATACTTAGGAATAAGTATAACCAAAGATGTATAAGACTTGTACACTGGAACTACAAAACATTGTGGAAAGAAATAAAACATGCCTAAATAAGTGGAAAGATATCTTGTGTACATGGATTGGAAGACATAATATTGTTAAGATGTCAGTACTTACCAAACGGATACACAGATTCAATGAAATCTCTATCAAAATTCCAATTGCCATTTTTTACAGGAATGGTCAAGCTGATAAAACTGTGGAATTTATAAGGAAACATAGGTGTAAATCTGCGTGGTCTCAAATTAGGCAACAGTTTCTTAACTGTAACACCAAAGTGCAAGTAACCTAAGAAAAAATAGGTTACGTTGAAGTCCATTTACATTGGACTTCATAAAAATTAGAAATGTTTGTATCGAAGAAGACTATCAAAAGAGTGAAAAGACAACCCATAGAATGGGTGAAAATACCACATATCTGATGACAGTATCGTATCCAGAATATGTAAAGAACTGTTACAACTCAATGATAAAAAGATAACTCAGTTTTTAAAAGGGGTAAAGAATTTGAATAAACTTCTCAAAAGAAGATATACAAATGGTCAGTAAGTACATGAAAAATATTCAAGATCATTTGTCATTATGGAAATGCAAATCAAAACCATGACGTACCACTTTACACCACCAAGGTGGCTGTACTTTAAAAAAAAAAAAAAAAAAAAAAAAA